AACTTTGATACTAGTAAGCCATTTTGGCCCCACCCTATCCCTGGGGGTTATGATTTGAACAAACTAGAATCTACACTACCTGAGGATGATTTCACATGGGTTTCATCTTTCCTGGCCCAGTGGTTCTTGAGGAGAAGATTTTTAAAGATTTTTCCTATATATTCCTATGTAAAACTTTGATCGGCCATTGTGGCCCCACCCTACCCCTGGGGTCATATTTTGAACAAACTAGAATAAACACTACCTGAGGATGCTTCCACATAAATGTCACTAATCATGGCTTTGAAGTACTTGAGGAGAAGATTTTTAAAGATTTCTCTATCTAGTCCTAAGTGAAACTTTGATAAGCCATTTTGGCCCCACCCTACCCCCGGGGGTCATGATTTGAACAAACTTGAATCTACACTACCTGAGAACGATTTCACATAAATATCACTAATCATGGCTTTGAAGTACTTGAGGAGAAGACTTTTAAAGATTTCTCTATCTAGTCCTAAGTGAAACTCTGATAAGCCATTTTGGCCCCATCCTACCCCCGGGGGTCATGATTTGAACAAACTTGAATCTTCACTACCTGAGGATGCCTCCACATGAGTTTCATTTTTCCTGGCCCAGTGGTTCTTGAGGAGAAGATTTTTAAAGATTTCCCTATCTAGTCCTATGTAAAAATTTGATCGGCCATTTTGGCCCCACCCTATCCCCGGGGGTTATGATTTGAACAAAATTGAATCTACACTACCTGAGGATGCTTCCACATGAGTTTTATCTTCCTTGGCCTAGTGGTTTTTGAGAAGAAGATTTTTTTAAAATGCCATTAATTTTTCACTAATTCATAATTATCTCCCCTTGGAAGAGGGCGTGGCCCTTCATTTGAACAAATTTGAATCCTCTTCACCTAAGGATACTTTGTGGCAAGTTTGGTTGAAATTGGCCCTGTGATTCTTGAGAAGATGATGAAAATGTGAAAAGTTTACGACGGCGCCGACAACGACGACAGACAAAGGACAAATTTTTATCAGAAAAGCTCACTTGAGCCTTCGGCCCAGGTGAGCTAAAATCACCAGCAGACAATTACAAATCTAACAAAATAATTACCCCAATAGGAAATTAATATCATTTAATTGAATTTTCAAAGCATGTACGTTAAAAGGCACGCAAAAAATATGAACACAAAATCATAAAAAGTTCAAACACAAACAAAAATATGCAATAGTAGTTGTGTACTTAGAGTAAACTTTTTTTGCACTTTTCAACAAACTTAATGATGATAACAGCCGGAATCTTAACTGAATCTTTTTTTTCTGTAATAATATTATGTACTTTTGAAAAAAATTCAAAAAGAATAATTCAAAACCTTTTTTATAAAAAAGGAAATGATAAATTCTATTCCAGCATAAGTATTTGTACTTACTTGCAACTTCGTAAAAAGGGATATAACTTAATATTTTTTCTCAACTTAAGAAATGAAAAGTTCTTTCTCTTTTCAATACTTCAATAAAAATCAATACTAGTGTTTTACATGATGAAACCTATAAAACCTGATACCAAAGATCAAAAGCACAAATCAGATTAGAACTGAAAAGTTTACTGAAAGGGGAAGGGGGGGGGGGGGCTTGAATTTTAACACTGCTTGAGAATGCCTTCATTTTGATAGAGCATATGACTTTGCTGTTCTTGATAAAAAGATTTTTTAAAATTATTTTCTTCCTATATATAACTTCATAATAATTTGAATTTGATTCCCCATTGTTTCCATCCTTAACCCAAAGAGCCATGATTTGAATAAATTTGAATCTTCAATTCATGAGGATGCTCACATGTCAATATTACTAAACATAGCTTTTCTGTTCTTGGGATTTTTCCCTTTATTTTTCTATGTAAAATTTTGATCCACTATAATGTGGCCCCATCCTACCCTTGGGGGTTATGATTTGAACAAATTTAATTCTACACTACTGAGAATTGCTACCATATAAATACTAGTATCACTAATCATGGCTTTGCTATTCTTGAGAAGAATTTTTTAAATATATTTTAATGTAAAACTTGTAACCCCCCCCCCCCCATTGTGGCCCCATCATATCCCTAGGGGGTTATAATTTGAACAAACTAGAATCTACACTACCTAAGGATGGTTCCACATAAATATCATTAATCATGGCTTTGAAGTACATGTACTTGAGAAGAAAATTTTTAAAGATTTCCCTATCTAGCCCTATGTGAAACTTTGATACTAGTAAGCCATTTTGGCCCCACCCTATCCCTGGGGGTTATGATTTGAACAAACTAGAATCTACACTACCTGAGGATGATTTCACATGGGTTTCATCTTTCCTGGCCCAGTGGTTCTTGAGGAGAAGATTTTTAAAGATTTTTCCTATATATTCCTATGTAAAACTTTGATCGGCCATTGTGGCCCCACCCTACCCCCCGGGGTCATGATTTGAACAAACTAGAATCTACACTACCTGAGGATGCTTCCACATAAATGTCACTAATCATGGCTTTGAAGTACTTGAGGAGAAGATTTTTAAAGATTTCTCTATCTAGTCCTAAGTGAAACTTTGATAAGCCATTTTGGCCCCACCCTACCCCCGGGGGTCATGATTTGAACAAACTTGAATCTACACTACCTGAGAACGATTTCACATAAATATCACTAATCATGGCTTTGAAGTACTTGAGGAGAAGACTTTTAAAGATTTCTCTATCTAGTCCTAAGTGAAACTCTGATAAGCCATTTTGGCCCCATCCTACCCCCGGGGGTCATGATTTGAACAAACTTGAATCTTCACTACCTGAGGATGCCTCCACATGAGTTTCATTTTTCCTGGCCCAGTGGTTCTTGAGGAGAAGATTTTTAAAGATTTCCCTATCTAGTCCTATGTAAAAATTTGATCGGCCATTTTGGCCCCACCCTATCCCCGGGGGTTATGATTTGAACAAAATTGAATCTACACTACCTGAGGATGCTTCCACATGAGTTTTATCTTCCTTGGCCTAGTGGTTTTTGAGAAGAAGATTTTTTTAAAATGCCATTAATTTTTCACTAATTCATAATTATCTCCCCTTGGAAGAGGGCGTGGCCCTTCATTTGAACAAATTTGAATCCTCTTCACCTAAGGATACTTTGTGGCAAGTTTGGTTGAAATTGGCCCTGTGATTCTTGAGAAGATGATGAAAATGTGAAAAGTTTACGACGGCGCCGACAACGACGACAGACAAAGGACAAATTTTTATCAGAAAAGCTCACTTGAGCCTTCGGCCCAGGTGAGCTAAAATCACCAGCAGACAATTACAAATCTAACAAAATAACAACCACAATAGGAAATTAATATCATTTAATTGAATTTTCAAAGCACGTACATTGAAAGGCACTCAAAAATTATAAACACAAAATCATAAAAAGTTCAAAGCAAACAAAAAATATTCAGTAGTAGTTGTGTACTTAGAGTAAACTTTTTTTTGCACTTTTCAACAAACTTAATGATGATAACAGAATCTTAATCGAATCTTATATTTTTTTCTGTACTATAATATTATGTACATGTACTTCTGAATAAAATTCAAAAAGAATAATTCAAAACCTTTTTGTATAAAAAAGGAAATGATAAACTTTATTCCAGCATAAGTATTTGTACTTACTTGCAACTTCGTAAAAAGGGATATAACTTAATATTTTTTCTCAACTTAAGAAATGAAAAGTTCTTTCTCTTTTCAATACTTCAATAAAAATCAATACTAGTGTTTTACATGATGAAACCTATAAAACCTGATACCAGATCAATACAATACCTGTACGTTTAATTTACATTTTCTAATGAGCAAAGGTTAAATTGAAGTTTAAATTTAAAAAGGCGAAACATTTCACAAATTACATAAAATGCAATAATTTTTCAAAATTCCCAGTCTAATTAAAATTAGACTTTTCGTTTCAAAGCACATTTAAATCATGGCTGTATTAATCAATAGCCCGGATTGCAGCTGATGATGCTATAATGAATGCTGTATCCTTAACTCATGATTATGTACAAAATTAAGTTATTCATAATTTTGGATAATGAGTGAAAAAAATCAAGTTTTTTTATTAATTAAATACATGGATTTGTAAAAATATAAGCATGTTTATATACTATGTATATTTCTACAGCAATTATGGTAGTATTGATTTTGGGCAACAAAATGGACAAACATGTTATGAAATGAACTAACTGGTGAATAAAAGAAACATGTTGGAACTCTACATAAAGAGGCCTTCTTTCATTAAATATCTATGCGTATATAAAGAGTCTTTAACTAATTCTTTCTTGCCTTGAGGCATCCGAACCTTTAACAACACTATATAGCTATTGATCGACTGATGATTTTTTTTCTCATAATCTTATCTATCGTGGAGGTAAAAAAAAATCTGTATACATATATAATTATGTATAAGTCCTGCATGTTAATCTATGTATATACCTCAGATATGTCATAATTTAAATCTCCCATTTTCTAAGGTACAATACTTTGTTTTTGAAAATTTCAATGAATTTCAATTCGTGTACAATTAGTTATAACAATAATACAAATGAAAACTGCATCAAAATTAACATTCTTATTCACAAGGGCGACATAAGAGGAATATGCATGAATAAAAATGAATGATTTTTAAATAAAAAGCAAAACAAAGATTCAATTTACTGTAGATCACTATATTTTCGCAAATTTTTATTTTCGCGAGATAGTCATTAACTCTTCATTAGCGAAACAAAATGTTCACGAATTTGTGATTTACATAATGATATACGAGAGAATGAAATTTTCGATTCCACACTGTCTAGCGTAATTAAGCAAAAATAAAGTTTTTGCGAATAAAAGTGTGATTTACAGTAATTAATACATCAAACAATATGTAATACATGCAATCTGATATGAGTATTATGTACACCAACAAAAAGCAACAATAACCAACATTATTAGAAAGTTTTGAAAAAGAATAACCATGTTTTAAATTAAAGAAACATAATGGAAAGTAAATAACATAAGTAAACATTTTCACATTATGGCCACTGATCCGTATTACTGAATTCTAATCTGCGTGACCTTGACATCACCCACTATGCCCAAGAACCGGAAGCGATCCAAAGGTTGTAAGCGGTGCTTAAACTCGATAAAGTGCTTGCCATCAACAGCAACCTAAAAGAAAAAAAATCAACCAATTTCTTTATACAATAATTTATATCCATTTAATTCAAAAAAGCACAATATTGAATCCTTTGCGTGGAACATTTTTCATTTTATGCATTCAATATGGTGTTTTATTCTTTATTAGCACTTGGTATTTTTTTTCAAGGGCATTTGAACAATGAAGATCTTTTATCATGCCAGCACCTACTGCAACACGGGACCTCCGTTCACACGGTCATCACGTCCCAATTTTGGAATCGAACCCGCGACATTAGGATCAACTCCCTACTTCGTGACTCTATAGGAACATAATTATGCTCTAACAACTGTACCACGCGAGGAGAACATTTAAAATAAGAAGAACTAAACCTCTGTTTTAAAAAATATGGAGATAAAGAACAGCAATTAGCCCATAAAGGCCATTGAAACAAAACAACCGTGAACAGAGCAAACACAGACCTCCAAACACATCAGAGATGAGATGACGTGCCATTGAAAAATAAGTATCCCTTGTCGAACGGTCATCACACCCGTTGTATTATGCGTAATGTCAGTCAGTATTCGACTTAGTGACAGATTGTATATTTGTTGACAAAAGTCATTGCATCGACCATTGAACTTGCGAAATGCTGACTTCAAAAATGTTATGTATCAACAACATCTCTTTCTATACTTTAATATAGCCATATGCAGGTGATAAGGGTATATTGAAACAAACATAAGGTGAGTCGACGATAGAACAGTTAAAATCATCACGTTTATCTTATTAGTTTAATTGTTTGTTTACCATTAACGCCTTTTTCTAAAACCTACACAAATATTGTCAACCAGAAACTATAGAAACTTTTTATATCAACTAATTCAGAGTTTGTGTGTACAGTGCGAAAGTTTTTCACAAACCCATTCTGGAATCACCAATATCAAAGATAAGTAAATTAACGAGTTCCAGTTTTAATGAAAAAGCAGCTGTCTATGATGTCAAAAAAGCTAATGAACTTTAATTTATCATGGGGAATGGTAGTAAAAGTGTTTTTTTTTTAAAGTCGTACTTTTTGATGTTACTCATTTCGGAAAAAAAATGTGAATTTTTCTTTAAGTTACTTGTAGTTTTTAGATATCTACGTCTGATGAAGACCACTACCCAAATAAACAGGTATTGGTGCACTATTCATAAAATTTCTCCTTCAGTATTGTAAATATTTTAGATCGAGTAAAGAAAGAGATTTGGTTGATATTTTTATTTTTAAGAAAAGTAATCTAATACAGGTATGATAATTCACTTTCCATTTTGATTGTTGAGAATAGTAAAAATGTGTAAAACTGACATATGATTTTAAATAATTTTCTTTGAAAAAGGGAGCTATGGGTGCATTAAGTTATATAAAGTTAAATACAGAAATTAAATCAAAAGTAATCAAATAGAGAAGAAACACAGTTTGCCAATGAACATATGCACAAAATATTATCATGCTTCCCACCGATCTGTATCTCACTGGGCTAGAAAAACGAGGATGGAATAGCCAAATGATCATGGACAGCTCTGTAACATCCGAAGAATCGACCTTCACGTCCCATTGTGGGATTCCAACCCACAACGGAAGGATCAGCTCTTTACTTCGCAACTCCAGAGCAGACGTTCTAATAACCACTGCGCCACACGGGCAACAGGAACAGCTCTGTAGCTTAACAAAAATATGACTAAAATGCTTTTGTTATGTACCTTGAAGCAATGTTGCTCACAAAGGATCATTATGTCAAAGTTAGCCTTTGGTTGGAAGGGAAAGTATGGCTTCTGTCTCTCCTCGGGTCCCCACTGGTCGTTTGATCTACTGTTGCGTACAATCTCGCTATTATTGCCTTCCCAATTGATCCTCACATCAAAATGGAGGGCAATATCAGAGCCGTCGGCAACGTTATCCTGTATATTTACCGAAAACCTAAAAATAAAAAAAAATGTATATGACAAGTTGCTAAATTTTACCATAACTTACGCGTGTGTCAAAATTCCATTCAAATCCTAGTAGTTTTGCTTGGTTTCACATGGAATTATATCAAGGTAATTAAAAATTTACTAAATACTCTGCGTGAAATCGACAAAAAAATTATTTCACATCTTTTCTTTGACTATGAGAAATAAAAGGGCATATATTCAAAAGATATTTTTACTGAAAATTATTCTTCAAAGAAACTAAAACTGTAACAACAAATTCATGCATGTAAAAATTAAACTATAAAGTTACCAGATTCATATGGCAACATAGTTCAAACTTACTTAGACTATTTTATAATTCACTGAAAACTTAGTAGTCCATGATTTTAAGTTGAAATACGTGAAATGTACTCCTAAAGTTAAACATAAAAGTTTTTGAGTTGGTCACTGATTGGGCAGAGTGAAAAGCTCACCTGTCACCGGCTACCCCTGTTATATGTATGAGTTTGCCCACCGTCATACCAGATGGAGCGATAAAGCCCATGAAAGGAATCGGCTGTAAAAACATAAAAGACAAGTCATTAAAAGACGTTGTAAATCCGTTTACAAATCCCTTAGGGTCCTTCGGATGAGTCTGCATAAACCTTGGTCCCGTGTCGCAGTAGATGTTGGGGTGAAAAAGAGTAGACCCCTCACTGCTCAATGGTACATGTACGGAAAGGAAAGCCGAGTATAGGTTAGAATCTGCAGCCCTCCACCGGCAAGTGGTGGAGTCTCCATATTGGTGAAAACTTCTCGATAAGAAAGTTAAAAAGATAAAAAAAATCCTTTTAAAGGATGTCTTTGAGAAAGGATAAACATCCAGTTTGGGTGAACATAGCTAAATATTTTACGTTTAAGTGTTACAGCAAATGTAAATAAATATTAATTATCTCCAAACCATTAAAACATTCCAGATTGGGAAAGTCTTTAAATCGACGTGCACCATACAAGATGATGAAAATTAGCTCATTGGAACTTGGAATTGACAAGCTAAAACATTTTCCTTCCCAAATTCACTGTGTACTATTGATTGAATATTTGATAAATACTGATATATTACATATAATAGAAAGTTTTGGCATATGTTAGAGGTTTTAACTTTATCAAAGATATCTGTTAGAAGATAATTGGATTAGAAAGCTAAAAATGGACGAATAGCAAATGTAACACATATAATGTATGATTTCAGAAAATGGCAGACTACTAATAGATAATTGTTATCAATACATTCAATGCATTTCTCTATCAATTATTGTAAATAAGGAAGAAAAACATTTACTAAATTCTACGAGGATCTGAAATAAAACTTTATTCAACAGCAGATACAGTGTATGAATATCAACGTTCTATGAAAATTATATAACATAAGTTGTTAAAATGTTTTTAAAAGAAAATAATTTATTTTTATTTATTTATCTTCATTTTTTTTTCAACTCTATCTAAGGAATTTTATCAAGTTGTACTTCAGTTACTGTTGTGTAAATCACACAGACTTGTCAAAAAGGCATAATTCATCAAGAGCTAAAGTTTTTCTGTATACATTTACTCGAAAATGGCATTCAGATCAATTTCACGATTGGCTAAACAGAAAAACACAACAAATGTTAATTTATGTAATCAGAATACATACTGGGTTGTTAATAGGACCTTGTGGTTGTGAGGGATAAGAAGGGGGGTACGAAGCCGGGGGACATCCAGCACCTGGTGGTTGTGGAGGTGTACACTCCCAGCCGTGTGTGTGGGGACCACAGCATCCTTCAGTATAAGGTGGCGGCATGAATACTTCAGTTGGTGGTAGTGTTATGAAACTTGATTTGCGGCTGAATGAAATGTACGGAAGGTAACCCGTGTATCTAGCGTCAAATCAAAAGACCGGTTATAGCACCTGATATCTGTACACGGTGTGCACGTGGACTAAAAATTCGCTGTCACCTGCAAAATCAATGAAAAATTGGTTAACATTATTTCAAAGGATTGAATTCAAATACACAATATGTAACATCAATAAGGATGAAATATGTAAATTGGAATGATTTTCGCTATTCAGATATCCAGAAAATTATACAATATACTTTAGTCTAAAAAGTTTACTTGAAGTATTGCAAAAGAACAGCTTAAACAATATTTCATCTCTATCAGTAGCAAAATACTTATAACAAAGTTCATTTTTGAACATTAAGAAGAAATAAAACAGAGGTATAATACCAACAGTACTCCTTCCAACAAATCTGCATTGTGTGAGTTTCCCTACAGGAAAAAATACTTGACTTTACAGTTTTATAACAGTTTTATACTCTCGGCTTAGTGTTTCACAAGGAAGAATTTCGCTAAATGTATCACGCTTTTTCATTAAATATAAATATGGAATTCATTTTTATGATTTCTAGTGTGCGTAATGATGATTGCTAAAAAAAAAAAGAACCAAAAATATGTATCAAGTAGGATATTTCCACCCAAAAAATCTAAACAGAGTTACTTCCTTGAATATGGAACACGAAGATAAAAAATATCTCATACTGTTTATTTCCTTGAAATAATAAAAAACACAACAAATATTTAATTTTAAATTCCCCTCCCGTATTTTCAGGAGCCTGATAAAACCCTCGGAGACTAAAAGGGGTATAAAACTCTATTTTAAGTTTTATCATATTAATAATAATATCTCTGTCTCATAATTATTCTTGGTTGCAAGGAAGTAAATAAAAAAAATATTTTCCACACTTACACATTATTTACGTCATTGATGAATGCCACTCTCAATGTTCGTTTTATTAAACGCACTCTGCAAGATGAAGTTAGCATCTCCTTAAGGTCTGATATCTCTCTCTCCCCCCCCCCCCCTCCATGCGCTTCATGGATTGCGTACACTGATACCGATACACGGAAAATATCAGTTAAAATTAAATACCGGGGTATAAACACAAATCCTAATAACTATTATAATAGCATATTTCTGCCACTTACATAAAAGATAAATTAGACTAACTTGAAATATTATAATGTATATCTTCATGCGACTTATTTATGTTAAAATGCAAAGTTATTCATTTACACTCGCAAGTTATCAATCTCTAAAGACAATCTAATTTCAATGCAAAAGCAACTAACGCCTAATACATTGTATATGACATACGAGCAAAATGTAACATTATCATGTCGACATGCAAGTTATTTGATTCAATAAGCCAAAACAAACGTACAACTGCAACTTATGTATGTGACATGCAAGATAATTCTGGTAACATTGGAGTTAATAATGTCATCAAGCGAGTTATGTATATTTAAAAAATGCAACTTATTATCTTGAATTTTAACATAAACATCTTGGAATACATTTACATGGAAATAAAGACTAGAATTAAAGCTGAAAAGTCCAATAAACAATACAACATTGGAGCAAAACAAACACTGATCTCTGAAATATATAATTGAAATTCAAGTGCCAAGGAGTAACATTTCATGTCGACATACAAGTTATTTGATTCAATAAGCCAAAGCAAACGTGTGCAACTTATTTATGTGAAAACAACAAAAAAATCCGTCGACAACTCAGTGTGTATATAATGGTTTAACAATTAGTATGAAAAACTTAAAATGCGTTTGACTTATTGATAAATTGTTTTAACATAAATCGTTGTAATACATGGACATGGAAACACACAGATTAATATTAAATTACCCATTAAACAATACAACATTTTTGTTTCAGCAGCTTGTTTGTAAACATAATTTATCCGGAAATTGTTCAATATGTATCAAGTAGGATATTTCCACCCTAAAAATCTAAACAGAGTTACTTCCTTGAATTTGGAACACGAAGATAAAAAATATCTCATATTGTTTATTTCCTTGAAATAATAAAAAACATAACAAATATTTAATTTTAAATTCCCCTCCCGTATTTTCAGAAGCCTGATAAAACCCTCGGAGACTAAAAGGGGTATAAAACTCTATTTTAAGTTTTATCATATTAATAATAAAATCTCTGTCAGAATTATTCTTGGTTTCAAGGAAGTAAACAAAAAATATTTTCCACACTGACACATTATTTACGTCGTTGATGAATGCCACTGTCAATGTTCGTTTTATTAAACGCACTCTGCAAGATGCAGTAAGCATCTCCTTTAGTTCTCCCCCCCCCCCCCTTGCGCTTCATGGATTGCGTACACTGATACCGATACACGGAAAATATCAGTTAAAATTAAATACCGGGGTATAAACACAAAGGCTAATAACTATTATAATGTCATATTTCTGCCACTTACATGCAAGATAAATTAGACTAACTTGAAATATCATAATGTATATATTCATGCGACTTATTCATGTTAACATGCAAAGTAATTCATTCACACTTGCAAATTATTTTAAATATCTTAAGACAACCTAATTTTAATGCTACATATGTAACCCTACTAACGTTAACACTATACTAATTGTATATATTATACTTTCATGTAAATTGTGTTGAATCTGATTGTTTTTCGAGAAACATTTTGCAAAAAACACTACTACCCGTGATTTATGAAGCCACGCCCTCCTGCGTAGCAACTGTCAAATTGCTTGACGACGGGTGTTATTCCAAAAAATCGCGACTGCGCGGAATTTATGCGCGCACGGTTCACTGTAATATGTATTTGTATAAAACATTCAGTATAATATAATAAATATAGCATGTAGTTAGACCAACATGTTGAAAATTTGCAACTGAGAGCCAAATTTTGCGCCTCGGTTGACAATGGTTTTCTTGGGGTGAAAATTTTCAATGTTACACTCAACTACATGCAATATTTATATAATGAAATTCAAGCAAGATGTAACATTATCATGTCGACATACAAGTTATTTGATTCAATAAGCCAAAGCAAACGTACAACTGCAACTTATTTATGTGACATGTAAGATAATTCTGAGAACATTCGAGTTAATAATGAATGTCAACAAGTCGAGATATGTATATTAAAATGCAACTTATTATCTTGAATTTTAACATAAATACCTTGCATGGAATACATGGACATGGAAACACACAGATTAATATTAAAGCTGAAAAGTCCATTAAACAATACAACACTGGAGCCAAACAAACATTGACCTCTGAAACATCAGAGGTGAGATCCGGTGCCATAGAGGAATGAGCATTCCCTGCTGACCAGTCACATCCGGTGTGTCCTCCTTGTCATGATCGGAAAACAACGGAAAAATCTGTCGACAATTCAATGTGTATATAATGATATAACAATTAGTATGAAAAACTTCAGTCAACGTTTGACTTAATGATAAATTGTATTTACTGACAAGGTCGTTGTATCGACCATGGAAATTAAAAAATGATTACCTTAAACGAGACTGCTGATATTCTTGTTTCAGCAGGTTGTTTGTAAATAATTTACCTCGAGAAATTGTTCATGCATAGAGCATGTTCTCACTCGAATCAACGGAGAGATATGAACCCCGTATGAAGGTGATGAAGGTATATTACTACATTAGCAAGGGAAGATGAAGATTGAAAAGTTTACATGATCGCATTTATCATAAAGCTTGATAATTAGATTACCATTAACGTCTTTTTTAAGTAAAATATCAAATTATGAAACATATTTGTTAGACTGCGTGGGGGTATCTTTTATTTTAAGCTCAAAAAAGTGTATCGAAAAAGTGTATACAAAATATTCCTCTAATTCTAAAAAAAATAATTTAGTTTAAAAATTAATTCGATTCGCTCTTCCTTTCCAGTTTGCAAATTTTTCTCTAGGCTACATCCTCCACGATTTATTCATAACTCTCTCTCTCTCTCTTCTCTCTCTCTTTCTGATAAGATGATCATAAAACATGTCATCAATATCGAACAAAATATTTCGATCTGTTAAAGTGATCAAAATACAATGTATAACAAAAAATAGTTATAAGAGGAAAAGTGAATAATTAAATAAATATGAATAATATTTTCATAATATTATGTCTTTGCTTCTTCATCATGACAGTCATGTGTTTGTTTACATTTAAGTGAAAGCGGAAGTGACTCTATTGACATGGCAACAGTGTACTTAAGCATATTGCGATATGCTTAGCTAAGAATCGCTAAGCATGTTGCTTAGAATTTTTATGCAACAGAAATTAAGCATATTACTCAGCTAAGAATATGCTTAAGAAATATAAGCATATACTTAAGAAAAATCTTATAATTTTTATCAATATAAACCTGGCTGCAGGGGCCATAAAACTTACGGCGCTAGATTTATAACAACTTTTTCCAAAGGAATTAATAGGGAAAAGTATTTTTAACAAATAACAGTGATTTAATTTCCACTTCTTGTAGCGTCTTTAAAATTTTACATAGATACATGTATTGTCAATCAAAATTGTTAACATCTTTTAAATCAATTTCAGAGCATTTGTGAGTACAATCAGAATGTTTTTCAACAAAACAATTTTTGCAAATAATCAATGGCAAGGTGATTTACGAGATCCATTCTTATTGAAAAAAAACTGTCAATAATATCAAAAAGCCTGGACTTTATCCGTTGAATGGTTGTAAAGTTGAAAAGTCCTAAGTTTCTTTGATTTTGGTAATACTTTCCGATTTCAAATTTTCAAGAAGTTCCCTAAGAATTTCAGGTATCCACTTCGGTTTTACACCACTGTTACACTACTGTTAATATTTTATTGAGGTGTGAAGAATTAGGCTTGGTATAACATTTACTAGAACCTGCTATGTATCTTTGTTTGTAAGTATTTTTGTGCAGTTTTTGAATCCAATATAGATATGGTAATTAAAACTCATTGTGGTTGTTGGGAAGATTAAAAATGTTAACAACTGGAAAAAGATTTTGAGGAATGTTATAATATCAATCGAATGCTGAATGACATTTTAAAATACGTTGCATGTAAAATAGACCTTTAACATTTTTTTTACCAAAACTTGGGGCAATGAAATAACATCAATATTGCTTAAACCTTTCCATAGCTATCGAATGCAAGAAAGATATGGCTGGTACTTGGATTTTTATAAGGAAAAAGTTTTGGTTTACAAAACTGAAATATCCCTTTGAACAATTCATATTGTTTGTAGAAAAATGAATACTGTGGAATCATTTTAATTTGTGGGGGTCACTTTTCGTGGGTAAGCATATTTTTCATGGTTTGTGGGACATAATTTCGTCAAATATATAAAAGATTTATATAAATATGTTGAAAAAAAATGTTCGGAGAGTGTAAATTCAATTAAGGGTAGCATGAAGATCATGAGGATAAAACAAATGGAAACATTGATGATTCCACTTAGAAAAAGATGTGCATTACAGCAGGAAACTGAATGGTCCTATACTACTTAATGACTATTCA